GATGAGCTGATACCAAGGGCTCAAGTAGAAAGAAAATGTTTTGAAAATGATGATGGCAACATATGTACAAATGTGCTTGACACATGGGTGGATGTATGGATTGTGATAAGAGCTCTACGAGCTCCCAATAAAATGATTTTTAAAAATAAAAATAGAAAGGTTGGGGTTTTGAAATTACCCATAGGCACCTAAGAAGAAAGGCCTGACTTTCTACTTCCCTAAAGGTTTCAGCAATTAAAAACCCTAAACTAAGTTCTAGTCTGAAATAGACGGGGTCCACATGAGTTCAAGGCGACTCAAATGGCACATGGTCCTATGTGTGTGTTTTCTGTTGATGATCTTCTACACAGTGTAAATGAATTCCTTTTATTAACTCAATTAGCACAATCATTATGCCCAAGCATCTAATAGTAACACAAAGTGAAATTTATTAAAGTTGATTTAAAGTAAACTATATACTGTGAAAGATTGAGGAATGGGGTATTCAGATGGATTGGGTATTTGTAGAATTACATAAACTGTATATAGATGGATATTTTTACATGTTTCATCTCCTACTAAAAGAATGCAAAACAAAATTTAATGACCATTGCTAACCTTAACTATGCATTTATTATGTAGCAGGCTCTGTGCAAAGCACTATCTAAAGTAAAGGACTATTTTTCTATTAGATACAATAAATGTTACTCGTGTCTCACAAATGTGGTGACCAAGGCTGTAGAACTAAATTGCCTAGGACTCAAACACAGATCAAGTCTCCAAAGCCACACCCATGGTTTTGCGGAACCACCTCTCCACAACGGCGACTTCTAGCTGACCACTCTTTTCTTTCAACATTTTCTTAAACTCTTACTTCCTTCTGTCAGCTATGATTTCTGATAAGAAATGGGGTCATTTGAATTGTTCCTTTACATGTGTCATTTTTCTCTGTCCACTTTCAAGACTACTTATTTTTATATTTTCAAACTCTGGATATGGTGTCTCAGAGCATGAATTTCTGAGGGTCATGGTGTTGGGGGTTCTCTAAACCTTTTGAATCTATAAACTAGTTTTGTGAAGCTATTAGCCATTATTTTGTTCATTTATTTTCTGTACCACAATCTCTCCCCTCTTTTTGGGATTACAGTGATGTGGTTAAGAATTTTGCCATTATAACACAGGTTCCTGAGACTGTGCATGTGTGTTACAACATATGTATACACACATACAGATTTTTTTTTATTTTTTTAACATTAGGGGCTCATACAACTGTTATCCCAATCCATACACACATCAATTGTGTAAAGCGCATTTGTACATCGTTTCTCAAAACAT